TATATATATATATATATATATACATATATAAGTTAAATATTAAATATTTAAAAATACTATAGATGCAACAGATATAGTACAATAAATACCTGTATATAATTCCAGAAAAATATTCTTTGACTCGTTATGTATAAAACATGCTTTGCACTTACATTGTTAGATATCCTCTGCAGCAGCTCCCAAAATATTGGGTCATTACTGGAACCACCTCTAGAGCATCTGCCAGAAATCTCAAGTACTCGACACAAAATCACTACTTTAGAACCACTACATAACTTTAGTCTTTTACAAGTATATTTGACCTGTTGCAATTGTCCGAGTAACGTCTTTACACAATACACGACACACGACTTATATTAGAGACTTTCGTGAATTTAGAATTCGATACAAAGAGATATGTGTTGGAAGTACTCAAATATAAGCTACAAAAGCACATATATAAATTATACTATTGATAATTGCATATTCATAAATAAAGGATACATTGACGCTGTAAATGAATTAATACCCTACAAAAGCACATATATAAATTATACTATTGATAATTGCATGTATATAATTAAAGGATACATTGGCGCTGTGAATGAATTGTTTAATAATAAAATTGATTCAAAATGGAGACCCTGAAAGAGATACTTATCAAATTATACAAGGCACTTCCACACATATCCATTTTTTCGGCTTTTAATTAACGTTTCACGATAAATTTATTATATCAAATTGATCTACTAAATTAATTACATGTTTTGATGCATAAATTAATTAAAACTAATCAAAGATTTAATTAAAAAGTCTTAATTAACGCGAGAACATATTAATTCACGAAAGTTTCTTTGGCAATTAAAGTTAGCAACATGTGTCTGTGGCCACTTGTACAATTTAAAGCGCGAAATTCAAATAGAATCTATCTATTTGACTCTTTATTTATCTATGGATGATACTTTTGAAACGAGCGCTGCTGTCGCAGCAAACTAACTTCTTAGTTCTTTCCTCACTTTATCTCTGTGGATTCATATTATGGTCGAAACCGAAACGGAGCGAAAAGTGACACTGGCGTCATTTGTTGACAAATATTAAAATTGCCTTTGAATGCCTTAATTTGAGTTAATTCATGATTTTAAGAAACATTTTTTAATAATGATGGAGGCAATAGATGAACATCCAAGTGATTTGAAAGTTCTCTTATCTAGTATAGAAGTAGAAAATTTTAAATCTTATCGAGGAAAGTTACTAATTGGGCCTTTAAAGCAATTCACAGCAATTATTGGACCTAATGGCTCCGGTATAAATGAACCTAATACAGTATAAAGTAATCGTGGATAATTTTTATTTCACAAATATGTTTTGTAGGTAAATCAAATTTTATGGACGCTGTGTCTTTTGTTATGGGTGAGAAAACACAAAGTCTTCGAGTAAAACGCTTGAATGAATTAATACATGGTGCAAATATAAATAGACCTATTTCAAGAATGTAAGTTCTTAAACTCTCTAATGACAGTTACTTCAGTAGATAAATGTTTCAAAACGTACTAAATTAATATTTATATTTAGTGCCTCTGTTACTGCTACTTTTCAATTTCTTGAAGGGGGCGAGAAGAAGTTTCAAAGAATTATTAATGGAAATTCTTCAGAGTATAAAATCAATGGACAGGTAATTCAAATACATAATTTTTGTTATGCATGTGTACATTTGAACCGTGTCTTCAGAACTGGTCTATTTAAGAATTTAGTATCAGATTAAGCAGGCACGCAGAAAAAATTAGTGAAATATACATTTTACATTCATACAATTTTAATAAGTAAAATTATATTTTATTTAGTTTATTTATTTTATAATACTTTGCAGTCTGTTACAAACACTCAATATTTGGCTGAATTGGAACTTTTGGGAATTAATGCAAAGGCCAAAAATTTCTTAGTATTTCAAGGTGCTGTTGAAAGTATTGCAATGAAAAATCCTAAAGAACGAACAGCATTGTTTGAAGAAATTAGTGGGTATGTTATTTATTTCATTAATCCTGTTCAATGAGATTATTATCATTTACAGATGGTTTTAAATAAAATATTATTCAAAATCTTAGTTCTGGTGCATTGAAAGAAGAATATGATAAATTCAGAGCTGAAAAGGTTAAAGCTGAAGAGGAAACACAATGTTCCTATCAGAAAAAAAGAGGAATTGCTGCTGAGAGAAAAGAGGCAAAACTAGAGAAAGAGGAAGCAGAAAAATATAAAAAACTGCAGGAAGATCTTGTAAGCATTTGACTTTGTAGTAAATTAACAATTATAATTCTTCGTAAAGTACTTTATAAAGATAAACATTTTTGCTTTTGAATTATAGGTTAATAAACAAATTGAATTACAAGTATTCAAACTTTATCATAATGAACAAGATATTCAGCTTCTGGAAAAAGATTTGGTAACGCGGCAAGCTGATGTACAAAAAGCTGAAGCTAGTAAGGAAAAAGCTGAAGAAATTTTAAAAGAAAAACGAAAAGAGCAAGGGACTGTAAATAGACAATTACAAAAAATTGAGCAGGAGATGAGAGAAGTGGTAATGTGTATAGACACACATAAATATATGTAGCAAAACCTGTTTTAATTTAATCTTTCTACATTCATAGGAAGTAGAGATTTCAAAGAAGCGACCACATTTCATCAAAGCCAAGGAGAGAGTGACTCATACTCAAAAAAAATTGGAAAGCGCTTTGAAAACTTTGGATCAAGCTCGAAAAGCAAATGAAGCTCATCAGAATGACATCAAAGGGCTTGAAGATGAACGTGCCAGTGTTGAAGCCGCTTATGCAGAATATGAGAACAACATTGCTGGAGAATTACAAAGTCGTGGAAAAGATGTTAAATTAGAAGAAGAACAGGTAATTTTTTATTGGCAAATACTGAGAAAATTTTTTATAGGTTTATTTTATTTATAATATATCGATATTTATTAAGGTTCGTGAATATGAAAGACTGAAAGAAGAGGGCAGCATGCGCTCTGCAAGATACTTACAACAATTGGATTCTGTGAATAGAGTACAAAAATCTGACCAGGATAGACTAGACAATGAGATACGTAAAAAAAGTCAAATAGAAAATCAGCATAGACAAAAAGGACAAGAAAAAGCAGAAGCACAAAAAAGAATTGAGAAGCTAGCTGAGCATATCAAGTTTGTTCACCATTATTAATATATTGCTTAAGATTTTTAATACAAATTCACTATAAGATTATGTTTGATAATTTTTTATGAAAATAATAATATTTTAGATACTTTATCATATTTTTCTAGAACTACTGAGCAAGCATTGGAAGAACAAAAACGAATTAGAGAAGAACTGGAAAGTGATGTAGGCAGTTCAAAAGGTCGAGTGCAAGAGTTGCAATCTGAACTTGATAATATAGTAGAACAATTGGGTGATGCCAAAACAGATAAACATGAAGATTCAAGACGAAAGAAAAAGAAAGAAATAGTTGACAGCTTTAAGAAAGAAGTTCCTGGTGTTGTAAGTATGAAATAAGTCTATATAAAATTGTTTTTATATAACTTTGTTTTTTTTTTTTTAAGTATGATCGTATGATAAATATGTGTCAACCACAGCATAAGCGATACAATGTTGCTGTAACTAAAGTACTTGGTAAATATATGGAAGCTATAGTTGTTGATACTGAAAAGACAGCAAGAAAATGCATTCAAATTTTGAAAGAACAACGTCTGGAACCTGAGACATTTTTGCCTTTAGATTATATTCAAGCAAAGCCTCTTAAAGAACGATTAAGGTAATTTTCTTACTTAAATATAATAATTTATAATATATTTAAGGAAAATATTGTGTTTTTATACACATGATTTTTTTAACTTAAAGTTAATAAAAATCTTTTAATTTTTACTCAGAAATATTCGTGAACCCAAAAATGTTTGTCTTCTCTTTGATGTTCTTTGTTTTGAGCCTCCTGCCATTGAACGAGCTGTACTTTTTGCAACAAATAATGCTTTAGTATGTGAGACTCCAGAGGATGCTATGAAAGTAGCTTATGATTTGGATGGCAAAAACAGATATGATGTAAATTTAATAGCAGTGACAATATTTCTTCCCTAAACTATTATTACATAGAGCAATTTGATTTTAGGCATTAGCATTAGATGGTACATTCTATCAAAAATCTGGTATAATATCTGGTGGCAGTTTGGATCTTGCTCGAAAAGCTAAAAGATGGGACGAAAAACATATGGCACAGCTAAAAGCCAAAAAAGTATTAAAATATATTTTGCATTTTATTCTTAAAATTTTTAGAATACAATGAAAACACATAATGATTAATAATAAAATAAATATTAGTTTTAAATCTTTTATATCAAAGAAAAAAATAACAGATGAACTCCGTGAAGCTATGAAAAAGTTTATTCTTAAAATTTTTAGAATACAATGAAAACACATAATGATTAATAATAATATAAATATTAATTTTAAATCTTTTATATCAAAGGAAAAAATAACAGATGAACTCCGTGAAGCTATGAAAAAGTCTCGAAAAGAAAGTGAACTCACGACAGTTGAATCACAAATTAGAGGACTTGAAACAAGATTGCGTTATTCTAAAAATGATAAGGAGACTACAGTATGTATTCTATACAATTTTTGTTTGAATAAATATTTTTTTATATACTTAATTTTTGTTTCAGTCAAAACAAATTCAATCTTTAGAGCGTGAAATCAAACAGCTTGCAAAGCAAATGGATCAGTTTGGAGTAAGTATTATAAGGCTCAATACTTTTATTGATGAATTAGGATTTTTTTACATTATTTGCTTTGATAGCCAAATATTGCTGATATTGAGCGCACAATGTTAGAGCGAGATCAGAAAATTCAAGAAATCAAAGAAAGTATGAACAATGTTGAGGATGTTGTATTTGCTAAATTTTGTGAACAAATTGGAGTGGATAATATAAGACAATATGAGGAAAGAGAATTACGTACTCAACAAGAACGGGCTAAGAAGAAAATGGAATTTGAAGGACATATTGATCGTATAACGAGTAATTTAGAGTTTGAGAAATCTAGAGATACTCAAAGTAAGAAGTTTAAATTATTAATTTTAAATAACTTCTTCGGTTTGGCAAAAGACCATTTTATTTCATATATAATATGTATATGATTTATTTTATTTTTATATATTTATTTAAATAAAATTTTTCATTCTATTAGAAAATGTGCAAAGATGGGAACGTACTGTACAAGATGATGAAGATGAGCTAGAAACTAGTAAGCAGGCTGAATTAAAACAAAGGCAAGATATTGACGCTTTAAAAGAGAAAGTAGATACATTAAAAGGGGAGAAACAGGCAAAAAAAGCAATTCATGATGCAATGGAAGAGGAAATTGGAAAGGTATTGTTTACAAATCTAATTTTACATTATGGACATTTTCTTCATTAAATATTGATATTTTAAAGGCTCGCAGAGAAGTTGGTTCATTGAGTAAAGATGTCGTTACAGCACAGAAAAATGTGTCTTCCATCGAATCAAAACTTGATAGCAAAAGGAATGAACGTCATAATATACTGATGCAGTGCAAAGTAATAGTTGATTATATAATAATTTTATTCATGTATATTAATGAAAATCACTTTATTTTAGATGGATTCTATAGCAATCCCATTTTTGAGTGGATCCTTAGAAGATGTAGCTACTCAAGATACTACTTTGCAAAATGGTGAAGGTACCAGTCGTGCTACAGCATCAAATTTCGGGGAAAAGGAATCTAGGTATTTCCAACTACATTTTTGAATTGTCGAAAGTGAGCTCATTAAATATAATTCAACTTTACAGAATACAAATTGATTATTCAGAACTGGCAAGAGATTTAAGGAAAAAAAATGATCCAGATGATATTAAAAAAACAACTGATAAAATGACAAAATCTGTAAATTCTTTAGAAGATACTATTCATAGAATCCAAGCACCTAACTTGAAAGTATTAGATTATTTTATTCTTAAAAAAGTTAAAATTTTTAATAAATTTATGTATAATCTTATTAACATTTTTTAAGGCTTCTCAAAAATTAGAGGAAGTTAGAGTGAAGATACAGATGACAAATGAAGAATTTGAAGCAGCTCGCAAAAGAACTAAGAAAGCTAAACTAGATTTTGACAGAGTCAAGCAAGAACGTCACGATAAATTCATGAAGTGTTTTGTGCACGTCAGCAATGAAATAGATGAAATTTATAAAGTAAGTAATTATATCAAATATATTATATCATGACATTTTTTTTGAAATATATAAGTTTACTCTGTATTTCTTTATACTACAAAATGATTAAATTTTATTGCATCGCAAATAATAAATTAACTAATAGTGCAAAATTATATATACAGAAATTAGCCAAGAACCCAGGTGCCCAGGCTTTTCTAGGTTTGGAAAATCCAGAAGAACCTTATTTGGATGGTGTCAATTATAATTGTGTTGCTCCAGGAAAACGTTTTCAGCCTATGTCCAACTTATCAGGAGGAGAAAAGACTATAGCTGCTTTAGCACTGTTATTTGCTATACACAGGTAGGCAGAAAAATTTATCGTAATTATTTAATCTAATAATTGTATAGAAGTATAATTTTTCAATTTGCTTATTATTTTAGTTACCAGCCAGCGCCATTCTTTGTATTAGATGAAATAGATGCAGCTTTGGATAATACAAACATTGGAAAAGTTGCTCACTATATAAGAAAATCAAAAACGGATTTGCAAACTCTAGTAATATCTTTAAAAGAAGAATTTTATTGTCATGCTGATCGATTAGTTGGCATTGTACCAGAGGTAATAAAAAAAAAAGAATATCGATTTTTATGTTTAGAATTATATGCATTTTTTTTCTTTCCAGCCTGCTGATTGTCTTGTTAGTAATGTGCTAACATTTGATTTAGCAGCTTATCCCCCTTAAGGAGAATATATTAGAATACTTAAGTGACTTGATTTATTATAGATTTAACAATAATGATGGAATATGATTTTAAATCATTTTATTAATTAATTTTTACAAAAATATTGGTATTTTGAGAATCTTATATTAGATTAAGAAATAAATGGTCCATTCTATTAAATATAATTCATTATTTACATTAGATAAAACAACTAATAAAAACTCACTGGATTAGTGACAATAACTGGAATAAAATCCAAAATAGTATTGAAGCAACAAATTTCAAGCATCATTTTATTATACTAAAGGTTTAGCAAATATTTTGTTTATGCTTTTTTATGCATTTATCTATTACCATCAGCTTAACCAATTCCACTTGCATACCAAAACTATTTTGGAAAATTTTATAATAAACAATTTAAAGCTTTATATTCTAAATTTCATATTTAATTTCTGTTTGAGATATGTTGTAATTCAAATATAGTTTGGTCTTCGCCATCGCTATCTTCATCATCAGCAATGATCCCCACTGGTAATGGTGTTAATTCCTGAGTATCATTTGTTTTATTTGTACCATATCTGCGTTCTATACGAGATCTTCTTAATCTAAAAATTATTACAAGAATCTTCTTTATAAAGTTGACAATGCTCTATATTTCAGTGTTTAACATTAAGTATTTTCTTTTGTGTTGAGACACTACACAAAAAAGTAAACTTTAGTGTGCATTCAAAAACTATAATTAATTACATAGTTGTGAGAACATCTTATTAATTACCTCAGTCCTCTATAAGCTAAGTACAACACAACTAAGATACTTAAGCCTATGAGAAGGTAAAATCCTCGTAACACAGCCCCAGAATTTAAAGTATAATGTTTCAAGTTAATAAAATTTATTGAAGTAGATTCATTTTTAACGCTTTCATGCGTGTAGTTTTCAATTCCTGCTGCCTTTCCAGTGTCAGCTGTTCCATTAAGTAGCTTTTTTTCCATCTTTCAGCTTTTAACAATCAGTTTATTTTTTATCATATTACAGATTTAAAATGCATATGAGTGAGACAGGTTAAGATTGAATTAACTTTAAATTAAGTGAAGACTTTCATTAGATTTTTCGTATTTGGTTAGATTTTTAACAGTTTATCAATCAATTTTTTTATATATTTTTATGAGCTTTTTCTAATATGTTAGAACAGTAGAATCAGACTCTTCTTTTATCTATGAGTAGAAATGAGTAAAATACACAACGTATACACAACCTGACAAACTGTCAAATAAGATATATTTTAATTTTTTACTTAGTAATGTAAATAATAAAAATTAAGAAAAATGTAAATAAACGTAATATATTCTTTTAAAATACAACTTTTCATAGTAATTATTACGGTTAGGTGTATTTTATCTTTGATTATCACATTCGCAGTTAAGTTTTCGTTGTTATCCTTAGCTTGGCATTCCGTTAGCTAAATCAGATTAAACATAGGGTTCATTCATATTATCTCGAAGGATCTTGAAATAATTTAAAACATCATCCATTTTATTTAGAATTTTAAACCATTGCAAAGTGTTAAGAGAAAAACAAAAACTGGGCTGAAGAATGCATACATGCAGTGCACCATGGTGAATCCGACAATGGATAATGTTAAGATCTAAATTAATTAGGTTATTCGATTTTATTATTTTTTGTTAAGATATTAACTAGAACGATGTATCAAAGTGATAGTAGCATGTGTTTGCTTAAATATTGAATAGATTTATTTAAAAATCTGGAATTATATAAAACCGAAACGAAATACAATCTAACATTCTTTTCAAAATGTCAGCCAGACAAGAGAAAGACGTATATGAAAATTGGGAAGAAATCGACGAATCTTGTGTAAGTCTTAAGTAAAATTAACTAAATGTGGTTTACTTTTATATATATTTAGTCTTTTAAAATAGTATCTTGATCCAAAATCCGATTTTTACAACTTTTGTTCTAACATAACCTATATCTTGCTGTCACGCTATTGATCTGTATATTCATTTTTAGCTAGAAAATAAATTAAATAGCATTATAAATGGTGATTCAAAAATAACAGAAATGACGAATGTGGGGCCATTGAAAATGATTTTAATGGGAGATGATGCCTATAGAACGCACCCACCAGAACCTACTGTCAAAATTCTCAAACGACCTAGTAAAAGTCCACACAGTGCTATAATCCAAGAAAGTAAACCCAGAGCTCCAATTAAAACACTACAACAAAGGGAACAAGAATATGCAGAGGCGAGATTACGAATTTTAGGTTCTGCTAAAAGTCCGGAAGAAATAAATGAACCCAGGTAAAATAATATCGAATTAAGATTTTGGTCTATACTGTATGTTAATATGATAAATTCTAATGTATAATACTTTATCAGAGAATATGACTTACTTAATTGTATTTCAAACTATTTATTTTCATGATGCGTATATTTGTTAATGTATTAATTACTTTTATTACAGTGTAAATGGTAGTCAAAGCAAGTCTGAAATCACAATGCCCAATGATAATAGCACTAGAAATTCACAATGGAATAATCATAATCACATACAATTTTCAGCCACAAAATCACAAGAGTGTATTGTGAGACAACCGACAGGACCAGATGGTACAAATGGTTTTAACATGCGGCGGTAGTGGTTATTATTTATTTTACACATAAATCAAAATTTTATTTATGTTTCGTATTAAGAATATCATGGTTTGTTTGAATATATTTGTGCATGCACCATTATTTCCTTGATATAAATATATATTCCAACATTCAAGATTGTAATTAGAAATTATCTTTTTTTATTATTTTTAATTCATTATGTGAAAGAAATTATGAGCAGTTTCAAATTCTATGTGAAATCTTACCACTATAATTTAAGTTTAGATGATGCATTTTGTTTAACAAGTTTTTAAATTAGTTTAACATTTAAATGTATTTTAGCTATAATAGGGTTAGGTTATTTATAATGTATATAAATATCTATTTTGCAAATAAATTATGTATTAAATAAACAAATATGCTGATTTATATATCCATGCGTGCGTACATATATCTATCTATATATATATATATATATATATATATATATGTATATATATATATATATATATATATATATATATGTATATATATATATATATATATATATATATATATAATATTAAAAAGTGAACATTACTTCAATTTCATTTGAACTCGGTGCAAATAAATTAGTTTTTATGTTTAACATATGTTCAGAAGCGTTACTACCGCCGTATAAGTTTTACTGATCGCCCAGGCCACTAATATTCTCGACGTAAATTTTTTTGCAATTTCTTATTTTATGAGAAATCTTTGCTTTTTCTAAGAAACCCCGAAAATTTTTTTTACGAAGCTCCGCCAAGGCACGATATGATTCAATTAACCGATATGATTACGGAGCTCCGCCAAGACACGTATGAACAAATGTTCTTTTCAGTTTATGGTCTTGTTTAATTTTTAATTTAATTGTAAGCAAATTCAGTGTGAGAGATTTTCCGTCGTTTCCACACCGCAGTGCCCTAGGTCGTGGAGACTATTGTTTGATGATGTGTGTACCCGAGCTGTTCATATATTTTTTGCGCAAAAACTTTTTAAAAAAATTATAGACTATGAAAATTTATAATGCGTAAGATCGATATAAAAACTGAAAACTAATGGGGTGTGTGGCATCGTGCCTTAAGGCAAATTGCTGGAACTTCCCGTATCGTAACGAAATGTTCGAGGAATACTATTGAATGCTTTCAAATAGATTATTATAAATATTGTAACATTTTCTAATATTTATAAGAATTATATAAACTGAATTGAAATTATTTGTTTAAAGTATATTAGAACTATAGTCAGAATTAAAATAAAAATCTGAATTATTTTCGATATACAAAAAATTTATAAAAAAAAAGTTGAAACAAATTTTTTTTTTCCAAAATCTATTATTTTGTTAAGACAAGCAGAAAGTTCTTTGAATCATTTAAATCGGACGCTTAGTTCTCTCAAAAACTGCCATTTTTTGTACATTTAGCTTCGTATCTTCTAAATGGTTGGGCCTGCCTTTGCTAAAAACTAATAACCACTTCTCCCAATCATTACTAATGAAATGTTGATCATACAAATCGGATGCTCCGTTCTCTCAAAAACTCGATTTTTATTTTCTGCACTCTTTGCTCTTTATCTCCGTAACTGCTGGACCTGCCTTTGCCAAAAACTAATCAGCACACCTCCTTATCAATAGGAATCGAATGTTTTTTGAACCATTCAAATCGGTTCATCCGTACGCCCGAAAACGTGGACGACAGCCATTTTTTCTGAAGTATGCCAAAATGTTCAGAAACCTTCAAAACGTCGAGAAATGTAAAAATTTTCAATTTAGATTTTCGGCCCATTACAATAACTTACTCTACGGGAAGTTAATAAAATTTATTACTGCTTTTTATTTGGGGAATGAAGAAAAGAAAATTATTCACCTATTTTTAGAATATTTAAAAGTCGTATTTAATATTTTAATTATGAAACTATGTTTTCATATTTCTCAGAAAACATATATATATATATATATATATATATGTATATATATATATAAACCTTGAATCTAATTTTAGTTCATTTTCACCCACTATGCTCTATTAGCAGATTGATGGCGTTTATAGAGAGCTTCTGAAGATTTCAAACTGCAGTGTGACAAGTACACGTGTGGAGTGAAGATCGGCGTATATTTTATAAGTGAACGAAACCTTGTTTACCATTTGATCAGTTAAATAATAATAGTTTTTTTTTTAAATATGAGTTTTCAGAACGGTAAATACAGTAACGGGTATGTAATTAATACAATTACGTTATCATTAATAATTTATTGGTGTTTTTATTGATTATATTTTATTTTGTGTAAGCAATCGCAAAGGAAAATCTTCCGTAATTCTAAAAAATCCGCATTTGCACCATCTTGACCAGGATGTATTATATCACTTGGCTTTAGGAACAGGAAGTCATGACTTTGAGAAAATGTTTGGCGATATTAAGGTAATAATAAAATAAACTAGTGGTGTATGGCATCGTGCCTTTAGGCAAATTGCTGGAACTTCCCGTACTAAAAGATTTTTTGAAATCTTTGAAAAAATTTGATTTTTGAGATATTTTAAATTTTTGAAAAAAAACTGACTTTTTTGGAAAAAAATATTTTTTTTATTTTGAAATATTTTGGAATTTTTGAACTTTTTTCCAAAGCAATCGCTCTGCTTTAGCTGCATAGAAACGAATTATCGAAGCGCGTAAGCGCCGTGTCGCCGTCTAACGGACAAACGATGTTACGGAACCCATAGAAATGTAAACAAAATTGATACACATTACTAAAATCTTTGTTAATTTGATGTACATATGTCTAATTACCATTTTTGACTGATGGCATTTTTTTTTACTTTTTTTACTAGATCTCCGAAACCTCTAGACCCGCCTTCCCAAAAATTTAATCAGTTCTTCATCTAGTCAAAACAAGTAAAATGTTTTTTTATTATTTTGATTAAAATCGGACGCTCCGTTCCCTTCAAAACTGAGTTATCGTTTGTGGCACTTTTTGCCCCGTATCTTTGAAACGGCTGGACCTGCCTATGCCAAAAACTAATCAGCACGTCTCCTTATCAACAGCAATCGAATGTTTTTTGAATAATTGAAATCGATTGAACCGTGTTCCCAAAATCGTCGACGAAAATTTGTATACGCAGACACACACAAGATACACACACACCACATACACACACACCACATACACACACACCACATACACACACACCACATACACACACACCACATACACACACACCACATACACACACATACATACATTTTTTCTAAGGTATGCCAAAATGTTCAGAAATCTCTGAAACGTAAAGATATATGCAAATTTTCATTTTCGATCTTTTTTTGCGATTACTATAACTTACCCTACGAAAAGTTAAAAATTAAGTATTAATACTGTGTTCACATTATTAAAATTTATAAAAATACATAAATACGATTAGTTTAAATATAGAATAAAATAACTATGATATTATAACAACTCTTAATTCCTTAATTTTTAAATTTATGCATTAAATTTTATATAAGTCTAAATATTTCTCTTTTTGTTTTATGTTATAAATTTTTAGGTAAGAAAGGTAAGAAAAATTAAATTAAATATGAATAAAGTAAAAAAAAATTGGCTTACTAAATATTAAAATACAGTATAAAATTTATTCATAAACAGTATTAATATACAGAAATACTGTGGCTTAAATGTGCAAAAAAATAAATAATAATTATCATAATTTTATATTTGTATATTAAAAAGTTTGAGTATATCTATTTTTCAATTGTTTAAACCTTTTAGTGTTATTTCGTAATACAAATGTTAAAAAAATAAATTGAATATTGAATAACTAGATGTTATTTAAACAATTTGTTACAGTTTGTTTAGTCAAATTTTCTGAATAGTTAAATATATAACATATATTTTGGCGTTACATACCATGTTCATGTGTTTTTATATAAAATCTGTGTTTTTTGTAATTTGTAGTTTTACAGTTTAGGAAGTAGATCCTTTAACTATGTTCATTTTAATATTTTAATTATAATTTGCATTATGATGAACTTAAATAATAGTTGATTTGTTTTAATTCACTTTAAAAAAATTTCTAAGAAATTAAGATATTATGAGCATAAGAGTTGAAATTATGCAAAATTGAACCGCGAGTTATTTTCATATATGTATACTATAAAATCTATTATTTTTTTCATTTTCTAATTTTTCAGTTTGTGTGTATGGGAGGAACTGCAAATCGTATGGAAACTTTCGCCAAATATATGCTTTCAGTTTTGGATATTCAATTGCCTACAGGATCAGCTTTGTATGATATGATTCAATCTTCTCATAGATATTCTATGTATAAAGTTGGGCCTGTACTTTGTGTTAATGTAAGTATATAATATATAATGCAATGATTATTATTTAAAAATGAATGTAGCATGAATATTATTGAGATGATTTATTTTTATGAATAACGAGCTCCGATCATTTTTCTAAACTCGCTCGTTTCTTATTGGAAACTTAATGAACTTGTTTGACTTGGTTTCATATTTACATTTGTTGCCTCACACGAAGGAATGTTGTTCCTTAAGTTTCCTATATGCTTCTGAAAGCATATATACTTTTAAGACAGCATTTTTAATAACTGTTGTAATAACATCTTTTATCACCTATCTTGTTATATAAACAAGATATTTCTTACCTTACAAAGCCACTCTCTTTTTATAAAAATCAATTGTTACTATATTCTATAATGGTCATACTTAGTTGCAAATTTTATTTTATTTTACAATGGTAATTTTAATGGTTTGATACAATTTTAGATATAAATCTATATAAATAGTAGAAAATAAAGGTGGACTGAATTTTTAATGGTAATTAATTCAATCGAGAAAACAAATTAATTAATTCATAACAACATTGCTAAGAGAGAGTAATTTATTGAAAATCGTTTATGAAATTTCATATTTATAATTATTTGTCATGTGATGTGAATGCAGCAGATGATTAGTATACTTAGTTACAATACAATATTATTTCTTTAGAACGCCTAGTTAAGGAAAAATAATCAAAATATCGTGTTTATGAAAATATTACATGACACCTTAATTAAGCCTTTAGAAGTTTTGTATTTGTTTCTGAAAGATATATTTAAAAAACATTATATAAAACTTCAATTAGTACTTTTTGAAATATTCTTAAAACCTCACCTGTTAAACTATATATTTTTCAACAACATTTTCTTTTTCCAGCATGGAATGGGTGTTCCATCTCTAAGTATTTTATTGAACGAAGTAATGAAATTGTTGCACTATGCAGGGGCAAAAGACCCCATAATGTTTCGTATAGGCACCAGCGGAGGAATTGGCGTTGACCCTGGTACTGTGGTTATTTCTAATAAAGCTGTTGATGGCTTGTGCAGACAAGTTCACGAAATGGTTAGTTTAATTTATTTAAAACTTTTTTATGAATGGGCATTGCATTATTATTTTATCATTGTGAAATATGATTATTCATTTTTTCAGTATAATCTTGGCAAAGTGGAACATCGTCCAGCAATATTAGATGAAAATTTGGCAAAAGATATTCAGAAAATGGCGCAAGATGATGATCCATTCCAGACGGTTTTAGGGACGACAATGTGTGCACATGATTTCTACGAAGGTAAGATTTTATTAATAATAATTTGATATAAATAAAATATTTTTATGTATTTTAAAATGTATATATATACATATATTAGGTTGTCAAATATCTCCCTTCCGCCTTTTTGTATTATAAACCAAGAGCAAAAAAGCGGAAGGGAGATATTTGACAACCTAATATATATACAAAATATTTTAGATCAACTTTATAGCCTAACACAAATTTGTAAATAATATTATTAATTATCAATTATTTTTAAGCCTTGATAACTATGATGATCAAATTATCAAGGTTCAGTTAGTTATTACGTATATTAATTCTGTTTATATATTAAAGAATTTTGTGAGCTTCGCTGCATCTATATGGCATTGGCTAAATGTCTGAATTAAATTTCCATTAATTGATATCAATAAAATAGATGCAGAATAATAAAATTTTAGATGAATTCCGCTAAAGGTCATTAACGATTGTTTAATTAGCGATTGTGCTGGTTCATTAATATAACGTTATAGTTGTGCAAACATATCGTAACAATAAAATTTATCGCGTTTCATAACACCACTATATATATATATATATATATATATATATCAAATTATCCAGAGTGTTAATAAACGTATAGAGATTACGTTCTGGCAATTGTTAAGTTTAAATGCGTATTTGAAATAATTTAGGAAAAACCTTGATACGCTCATATTGACAAACATATCATAAAAATAATCAATTACAATAAAGTATATGTATTTTAAATCAATCGATGTAAACAATATTATCTCTTTTTTAACCTACCCTCACATCTTATGATCTTTTTTCTTAATACTTTCATCCATATTATTTTAAGGAAGAATATTTTTACTTAACAATCATCTGCTCATATTTGAATTGATATTATTAACTAAATGAATTTTAAATTTCGGGCAGTACGTAGCGCAAGAGATAAGATAAGAGACCTTGGCCTTACAAGTATAGGGTTACAGGTTCTAATCCCGTGTTATGTACTACCTGATATCTAGCAAACTTTATTACGGCACTTCCTTTTCCTTCATTACGCCGATTTCTGAAGAATTGAAAAAAAAAAACAAATTCTGATTTTTTTTATAATTTTTAACGAATTTTTATATGTATAATTATAAACAAGTGTTTGAACCCAACGCAAACCGGAGCGAACCGGCTCGTTTTTCCAAACCGTAAACCGGATTCTGGAACGATTTTTTTTCAGCCGGTCTTGAACCAAACCGAAACAAATACGAAAACCGGTTTTTTAATTTTAGTGTTCTTTTAAAAAATTATTAGCACGACATTGGCAATAGTGATTACCATTTCTACTTGTAAATATAGATAAAATTATGTTTCCAAGAGAAAATAGCTCTACCGGAATTGCTGCACTCTTAAAAAGATGTAAATCATCGGTAATAGATAAATACTAATAAACATCAAATTTAAATAGGCTTACTAAATTGAGTTGCTTTCTAATAGCTATCTGTTAAATAATAACTACCTAAATAATTACTAAATGTTTTAATATAATGATAGACCAATTTTATTTGGTAAATCAGATGTGTCATTGCGCCTTAACATCTTTGTTTGCAAAATGTGTGATTTTATTCATGAAACAACAACAATATCGACCTTATAAGTATTTCCTGAAGTTGTGAAACAAGCATGATATTGATATCAATAATTTTTTATGTAATTTTCCGATAAAATGTAAAAACGTCATTGAACTTACGTATGCACTTTTATGCATATGTTGTTTAGCAAATGACACAAAAATAAATATTAAATGAAATATAGAATAATGAGAGTTTATTAAATCGTAGATGAACGAAATAATGTATATTAAATAATAATGCTCTGTTAATGCTATACTTCTCAGAAATCCTGGCACAATTATCTTGTCAAAATATAATATTACTTACGACATTTGTTTGGATAAAAGCATTGTGCAACATTATGCAAACAGTTCTTTCTACATATACCAAACTTCTTGAATTTTTCTTTTCTAATTATAGTCACATATTTTTCGCACATAAGTATCTTGTGACTTATATATTTAAATATGTATATATATATATATATATATATATATATATATTTGGACAATCTAATATTTGTTTTACAGAAATTACAAACCTCAACATTAAATTTATAGCTACATGTGATATCAGTATTATCTTACACAAGTAGTTATAAATTATATAATATATTATATGATCAATCGAATTGCAATTGCACCTTTTCAAATTTATAAATTAAAATAATTCATCTTGCAGAAACAATATAATATTTTGTTCGTTTTAGTAATAAAAAATGTTACTTAGGAAATATATCTAATAATATCGTACTTTTTTAGCAATATTATAATGCGTATTTAAATATGCTTTTTGGTATTTTAGTTACATTTGTATGTGCTATATTAGTACCAAACTGTAGTGGTTTTGGCAATATATAATTTAATAATCATTTTGAATTAAAATTTTATCTGCGGTCAGCCTGTTATTTTTACAACTCTTATTTTACATTGTATTATAAATATATAGAGCTGAAAATATTATTAGTTCGATAATTAATTTATTATAATTATATTTTTTTAATGATTTATTAATTTAATTCATTATATGAAATAAATATTATTTAAAATATAATTTTTCTAAATTAATATCAAGAGTACGACCTGACTCTATTATTTGCACAACTGATCAATTGCATTATCAAAAATATAACACACACACACACACACACACACATATATATATATATATATATATATATATATGTATATATATATATATGTGTTATATTTTTGATAATGCAATTGATCACTTGTATATATATATATATATATATATATATACATCTTATTCTTTAAAATTATCGAACATTATATCTGAATCAAGTATATAATACTTTTAAAATACAATATTAACATATGATAAAATTAATGAAGATTTTTTCATAATAATTACTTATTTTATCTTTACATTTAAAATGCATAAATAAAGGAATTCTCTAACAGTAAGTTGAACATTGAAATTAATTAATTCATTCGGCAAATCGATTATAATTTGTACTGGATTTGTTATCTTCTTGTACTGGATTTCTGATCTGCAAATAAATATAAATTTTATACTTTCAATAGGTTAATAACTGATTTACGTTATCGAATCTTGATGTATCAATAAAATATCTCATCTGTCCACGAAAAGGTCAAGGCCGCTTGGATGGTGCCTTCTGCAGTTATACAGAGTCGGAGAAGACGAATTTTTTGGAGCAGTTATTCGCCAAAGGCGTACGGAACATCGAAATGGAAAGCACTGTATTTTCGGCATTTACTCATCATGCTAACGTCAGGGCCGCTATTGTTAATGTAACAATAGTCAATAGATTGGAAGGAGATCAGGTCGGTTGAAAACATTTTTTTTTTTTAATTTTGTGCATGTATAACAAGCAGAATTCTTATTTTATGATTTACCTAATCTTACAATATTAGAAGACAACCCATTAGTTGTCCATTTCCTTTGTAATTTGATCATTCTTTGGGCTATTTTCACTTAAAATTATATCAAAGATTTAAATTTTCACTACTGAAACGATTGGTTGTGGTTACCCACCAGTGGGTGGAGTGTCGAACAAGCCAGTTGAAAATAAATGGATTTTTCAAATTTGGTTTTGAAGATTTGTTCATTTTTTGATTTTTGTATTCAGAAACAATGCAAAATAACTTATTTATTAGAAGATGCAATAATTAATATTGCATATTACAAATGATATTTGAATATTGAATATTTCAATTTTAAATATTTACTGCACTCTACATCAAATACTGATGTCTATTTATGTTTAGAACAAATACATTAATGTCTGGAAAAATGTTTAATTTGCTGTAATGAATTTTAAATCTATGTGTTTAATTGATATAATTATCCTAATTTATTTATCTAGAATTAAATTTTATAATATTTTCATACTATTTCACTAAAATGAGTTGAGTTGGGAGAAACATTATTTTTTTAAAGTATATTTTGGTTTATGAATGAGTGGATCATTTAATTTTTTTTGTTCTTATATATATATATATATATATATATATGTATATATATATATATATATGTATATATATATATATATATATATATATATAGGATGGCCCTTAATATGGATGTTTTCGAATTTTCTTGTTCCCAGGGGCTCAAATGCTTCCAAATTGATAAAAAAAATTCTCTGAATGTTTTACATCTTGATATTAACTTTAAGACAGTCCGCACTTCACCCAAAGTTTCTACAAAAATGGGTAAAATTCAATTTTTATTATAACTTACCAACAAGTGAATCAAAATTTGAGAATAACATTGTATTTGCTTATTATGATCATAAGTTTAAAAAATTACAATAAAAATTTTTATAAAATAAGTATTTAATTAGGAAAAGAACTAAGAAACTTTGGTTAAAATGCGGACTATCCTAAAGTTAATATTAAGAGCTAAAACTTTCAGAGAATTTTTTTTATCAATTTTGAAGCATTTGAGCCCCTGGGAGCAAGAAAATTCAAAAACATTCATACTAAGGACCACCCATATACATTATATATTTACTTATTGATATGTATCTATTTTGCGCATTGATATTTAATTGTAATCAAATTCCTAATTAGGTCCATTCATTACCAGTAATATAATTTAATTCGCATCAAAACAACATTATTTTAATATTTTCTGTGGTAATTAATTTCAGATAAGAAATTCAAAGCAACAATTATTGGAATATCAAGACCGCCCACAGATTATAGTCGGAAGATACATAAAAAAGTGCTTGCAGTCGCAATAAGTTTCATATTGTAATAAGGCTGCAGATGAAATAGCTTATTTTTTTATCATTCCTACTTAATTATTATAAGTTTAATACTATATTACATATGCTATATTATAACCATATTCCAATTTATCTATAGTACTTTTTATCAAAGCTTGTGTAATTTTATTATTTATTTAAGTGATTAATGAAGTAATTCGTCATATCTACATTTTAGTTCCTGATATACAGATAAAAATATTTATTTGATTAAATTTAAAAATAAAATACATTGGCGAAAGAAATATTACACATTTTTAGGTTTTTAAAATGTTTGATAAAATTTCATCGTAGTATGTATACTTAAAACTTAATAAAAGTGCATTTAAATTATATGTTTACTGTTATATGATAATATTATTTTTACCCCGAGGAAAATTATTATGACTATAAAGCATAATTTATAAGAAACATAGATAAGAAAGTTTGAAATTTTATATGATATTTTATATTTAGAATAATGATATTGTTTATAATTTATACAATATGTCTGCATATCAAAAGCGAATGTAATTTGAGTAATAAAATTCCTGAACTGAATATCTTTGCTTAAATGATAAACAATAGTATAGCTGATAACAATTTTATTTAACAATAACTAATGAATAACAATATCACAGAGTGTCAGGTATTTCAACACAATTTTAGTACATAGTACTAATTGAGTATTGCTTTTCTAAGTTTTCTCACAACGACGTATTATGTTACCTTTATGTCAGGGTATATATATATATATATATATATATATATATATATAAATTCTGAATTTTATTGATAATTTATCAATTTCTAGATAAAAATATAACTACTACATTACTAACAATTTTAACTTAAATTTACATAAAATAATTAGCGTAATAAGGTACAACGGATTTTTTCTAATTTTGTCTTATTTCACTTTTTGATAATTAAATAAAGTTTGATAAAGTTTGTAAATGGATTATTACTTTGAAAATTGTTGATCAGACTCTATTCATTGATTCGAAGAACACTAACTGATTTATATTTAATCTTTAACAATAACCATTTCCGTCAATTTCTGAACATCGCAAAGGTTATTACTGTTACTAATTCTGGTTTATCTGTTTACACTAATCAACAAAGATATTGTACTAAAAACATTATCATAACACTTATTAGTCTTTTGTGTTCAAACAAATATTATTTCTACATTATTATTATGACGACTAGAATTGTATTAAAGCGTATCTGCTCATGTAAAAATATTTTTTACAAGAGTGCTTAAAATTATTTAAGAATATGTCTTCAATGTGTATATAATATGAATATTATCATATTTCATTAAATTTTTCTAAGATTTGCGCTATATTTTCATGATATATCTGATCAAATCGAATTTTGCGAATAATGTTTTCCACTTGACCAATTTGTTTAAAATTTATCTTGATAAAACTGGGCTATTGCCTAGTTTATAAATAATTTATAAACTATAAAATTTGAATAAATAAGAAGAACTATTTAAAAATTTAATGAAATTATCTCACTATTCCAAACTTTTTTCACTTCAAAACCTTTCGGTTAATTCGCTCTATAAACTATCTTTAATTAAACCAACACTCCCACTAGGATGAAAAACACCTCCTGAATTTTCGGTAATGGTCGGTTGTTGTTGCAAAATTCCTGAAGATCCTTTGATAATATTTCTCTTTCTGCTCTGATTCGATTCTGGATTTCTTGTTCCACCTCCCGGATGTCTTTTATAATAAAAAACAAACAAACAAATAAATGAATAAGTAAATAAATTTATATAGAATATTAATGGTAAAAAATTAATTATTAATTCATTTTTTTAAATAAATATGATTTTAATTTTCAAAGAAAAAACTGAATTCTTTTAATTTTTAATAAATTAATAAGAATAGAAATGTAGAAAGATGTTTGTTTTAACAGTTCTTGGAGAATGGTTATCCCATTCAACTGAAAGGTCGAAATAATTATGAACAAAAATTTATAAATGAAAAAAATTAAAGAAAGGGGAATGTTTGTTCGCGGAAATGAAATCATAAAAATATATATTTATCGCAATATGTAATTTACCTGTATGATACATGTTTGCGAAGTGCGTCTCTACTCCTGGACACGTGCCTGCACACGTGGCACGCATACTGAGCATCGCGATGTGTGTCCATGTGCACCCGAAGATTGTACTGGTTACTTAGTCGTTTTTGGCATATGAAGCAGGTTGCGTATGTTTTGCCCTATATAACAAATTATATGACTTATACTAATATAATTTAATTTTCTACTAAGCGAAGAACTCAATTCAATTCCTTATGCAGATATCAATGAAAATCTTGCATAAAATAAATATTAAAATATTAATCAATTTTCAATATAAATTACAAACAGATAAATAGATTTGATATAAATTTTACTCGCCTAATAAAATGGAATGTTATTGTCTTATACATAACTAATCGACAATGTGCAATCTCCGATCAAAGAATTCACGGGCACACCAGATATCGTAAAGTAATAGCTAATTGTTAATATATATTTATTCATTATGATGAACTATTTTTTACTAACTTGAGGTTCAACTGGCGGCTGAGGTAGGGATCTCTTTTTCCAGCTCCGCACTTCAGTAGCTCGGCTATTATATCAATCTTTCTTGGCTCCTTTCCATTATCTAAAACACTATCTACGTCATTTTCTGATTTCGAAATTTCTGATTCAATGGGTTTACTCGAATTGGTATATGGAGAATAAATACTAGAATTACTTCCTAAACCAAAATTATTCCTTATGTTATTGTTGATATTATTGTTTGTTTGTTTCAGAAGCATTAAAATTATGAGGAAATAAGGTTGATACGTCTGCATTTGGGGATTGCGGTCTAATAGTTCTATATTTTGTTTCAGGCGAGATTTGTTTTTCAGAAGTTCGATCAGAGCAACTGTAATCCATAGCGCATTCAACATTTTCTTGCTGGAAAATCAATATATATTTAAAATAAAAGAAATATTTATATATATATATACATATATATATATATATATATATATATATATATATATATATTTATAGGACTTACGGTTACAGATGTAGTTTGTTGTTGATTAGCAAGACCTTTGATACCCAAGGCATCAGCTAAACTGAGTATAGATAGAAGTTGATCTTCAAATATCGTTACCTCGCCAGAATACACAAAAGTCATTAGAGCACATAAGGATGAATATGGAACACCTAAAATATTTTCTAAAATGAATAAATTTCTTATCACATGTATTCATTTAAAACGTTGATTGCTTGGTTTATGGAAGCTGAACACAAGGTGACATAACGAAGGGTATCTAAAATATTGAAATTGACAATTCTTAGATTTAAATTATTTGTAAAAATTAAATCATTTTCGCGAGTTTTATTATTTTTTACCGATCCGTTATCCGTCACCTGGTAGAACAATGACGGGTTGCGCAGACGGAGCCAATGCTGCGAAAAGTTCCGAGAAAAAATCGCTGCACGAGGCCAGTAAAATTCTGTGGGCTCTAACAGTTCTACCTCCTGCACTGAGGGTTACATCAGTAAATCGTGAGGAGTCCAATAATCCAGGTAAGGATGATGCCAAAGATGCCTGGAATTCAAAATAAGTTGTAATGGAATATTAGAAATATTAATTTTTCCCAATTCTTCAACATTTGTGTTTATCAAAAAAAATTCTGTTATTTTATTTTAGGCATGTTATTACAATTAAGATAAAACATATTATAATATACCAAATTTATATTATGAATTATTATATAATCAATAAGTATTTATAAAACGTATTTTTTTTTTTTGAAATTTTTTGCGCTCGACTATGAATGTGCGGGCAGTCTTGTGAAGAATATACAATGATGAATAAAAATGTTGTATATTTAAAAAATTGCAGACAAAAATTGAAACACTATTTTAAGTTACTGGTTGCCCACTTATGATCCAAAAAGCTGCAATTTAGAAGAAAAATGCCAGTAAAATTTTTTCACAATAGTTATTTTCAATAATTCTTGATATTGGATACACTGAATCATAGTGTTGCATTTTAGAACCGCGTGTATCGCCATCAGATTGAAGAGGGTCAAG